AGTCCTTTGTGGTGACAACAACTTCCCGGTCCACGGAGCACAGGTTGGTCAGCAGCACAATCTCCAGCTGGGTGCGCGCAGCCGTCCACCGCTCTGTGCATGGATGGCGCCGCACAGGCATGTGCACGTGAGATCACGGCGTTGTACATAACGCATGACAGCGAAAATAGAAATACAACCCCCAAACGCCATCACGACCACAAAACCAGCGTGGCACATGTGTCACAGAAACTGAATTGCCTTGCATGCATGCATGCACGCACCGAGCTCGTGCGCGGTGGCAAAGTAGGCGCGCTTTGACTGGACGAAGCTGTTGCGCAGGGACATGAGCGTCTTGAGGAGATTGAGCACAAACAGCTCGTTGCCGCGGGCAAAGCGCGTGACGTGCGTGGAAATGGTGATGAACATGTCACTCGACACCTCCCAGAACCTGGCAGTGAAAATGGGTGTTGTTGTTGTTTGGGGTGTGTAAGAACGCAGTGCTCTGCAGCTGGTGCACAGGGCAAACCGAGTGCACAAATGCAGTCACAGTCAAAACCGCGCACGCACACACACAGAAATAACCAAAGCACAATTCATGGTAACAACCACAAACTCAACCGCAACCGATCAAACAACAATCCTCCCCTCGCCCCCAACGACCCCGATCCCAACTCGGCGCCGCACCTGAGTTTCCCCGGGCGCCAGAGCGGGATCATGCCTGGCGAATGGAGTTTGACGAGCGCAGCGACGGCCTGGTCCGCAACCCGACTCAGCTTCTCCTCAAGCGCACACGTGCACACGTTGTGGAACATTATCTGCGTGTCCTGCAGCTGCTTGTCGCGGACGTGGCCCGTGGTGCTCGCGCTCCCGTACCTGTTGCGGTGAAAGAGAAGGAGAAGGGGGTCAGGTGGTAGACGTGGGGAGGAGAGCCGTTGGTGAATGGGCAAAGGTTGATGCCCAAAGGCACACCAAGCACGAGGGCGAACGCAAGTGTACACACAAGCACACACATTCACAATTACCAAACACAAGCACACACATACACATAAATACACACGCACAACACAAAACACACCCACACACGCGCAACACAACATAACACGCACCACATGTCGTCGCCGTCGCCGTCGTTCTGGGTTGGCTCGTGGTGGAAGGCAAAGGCGGGATCGCGACAGAAGAGGTCGAGAATTGCGCCAACGAGCTCCGTCAGCTGCTCTGCGCGCGTGTTTGCGGTCTGCTCCTTCTTCTTCGTGGGCTTTGCCGACTGCACGACGGCGCCCTGCTTGAGGTCGCGCACGACGCGGCAAAGGGTGCGGCGCAGCGGGCGGGACAACTTCTGGTAGCAGTAGTGCATTGTCTTCGACTGCGCCTCGTCCAGCGACGAACGGTAGGGCTCTGCAAACGGGGAAGAGGGAGGTGGGCGGTGATGGTGGTGATGGTAGCAGTGGTGGTCATGGAGGACGATGAGAAAGAAAAGAAGGTATGCATACACACACGCGCGCACACACACGCACACACACACACACACACACACACACACAGCACAAACGCATGCACTGCAGTCCAAGAAACAACACCAGCATCGAGCACATGCAGCACAGCGAGTGTCGGGTGCACGCACGGTGGTGTGGGGCGACTTGGATAAGGGCCTTGACGGTCGCAATCTGGAATGCAACTGGCGAATCTGCAGCGGCGGGATGGCGGTGCGCAGCGGTGAACAAGGAGTTGACGCAAGGCGCGTGAGCGTTTGTGTGTTTGTGCGCGCGCACGTGTGTGTGTGTGCGTGTGCGTGTGCGTTTGTGGTTGTTCAAGCAAGCACACGACACACTGCACGGATTCCTCTCATGACAGCAGCGTGAGGTGTAACAGCCCTCACGTGCTCCTACTATGAGCAACGCAGCCCCATATCACCACCACTGCCACCAGCAACATCACCACCACTGCTGACCATCAGCGCTGAGGAACCGCTCCATGAGGTCGTTGACGGCGGACTTGTGGTTGAGGCGGAAGAAGGCAACCAGGCTCGGCACCAGCACATCGCCCGTCGCGCTCGAGAACGAATCAGGCAGCGGCTGCGTCGAGCTGAACACCCGCTCCTGGCATTTGCAGAGTGGGAATTGGGGAGGGGGGAGGGGTTGGCGTTTGTGGCATGGTGTGCGCATGATAACTTGAAGAGCAACCAAACATCAAAGGGCTTCACAGCGTTCATGAAAACAACGTCCATGCAATGATGGCAAGCAACAGCACGGCACTCAAGCGTCACAAGACCAGCCCTCCCCTCATTGCAGGCCACGGACTGACCTTGAGGTCTGCTTCGACGCCAAACAACATAATATGCAGTGTGGACGACGCGTCGAGAAATGCGGACGCGATGATGGCGCACACAAACACACGCATGGACGTCTCGTACAGCGGCGGCTTGCCGGACGACAGCGCCTGTGCGCACGCGCAGGATGGGGCGGTGGTACAGGTGGTGTGGGTGGACCACAAATGGTGTGAGGGGATGAGACGGGAAGGGAAGAGCACTGGCGTGCATGCGCAGTTCACACTGACGCACACAAACACGCAAACACACACTCACTCACTCACACAATCGCACAACTCCAGCACACCTTCTTCAAGCTGTCCATGAAGCGGTGGGCGGGAGACGTCTTCTGCTCGACATACTGCTTGATCAAGTTTGGACACAGCAGCAGCATCCTGACCCAGTGATGGTGCGACACAAACACGAAAAAGTGAACACGCGAACACGTGGGCACATGAGTAGGCACAAATGTGCACAGGCATGCGCGGTGGCGGTCGAGGCAATCGAGCACGACATGATGCGACCAATGAGCAGCGATATTGACCAGGCGATCACTCTATCAGCCAACATGCAACTGTCTGATGCCAATCACACTGAGTCAGGGGTATAACATCAACCACAATTATTGCCATCACAATTAACATCACCACCACCACCACCACCACCACCACCACCATCATCATCATCATCATCATCATCATCATCATCATCATCATCATCATCATCATCATCATCATCATCATCATCATCATGCTCACCGCATCTGTGCGGGCCAGCAGGCGACTTTTCTGTTTGCCGTCTTCTCGGCAACCGATGCAAACGACATGAACAGCGCCTGGCACTCCGGGACAAGCGGGTGCCCACGCTGATGGTGGTGGTGGTCGTGGTGGTAACGATGATGCAAGTGGTGATGGTGGTAGTGGCGATGAACAGAGTAAGGGGATGAAACAAGAAGGGAGGTGAGAGGGCGTGGTGGTGGTGGGGAGCAAGAAGTGGTGGTTGACGCAAATGATAGAGAGTGTGTGCGTGCGTGAATGTGTGTTGAATTGTTCGTCCATGTGAGCGCGGTAACGTGTCATGTCCACGATCCCAACACCGATTCCACCACCTTCATCACTACGGCATCACTGCTATCCCGTTGCTGTACCTGGTGCAGGGCCACAAACTCCTCGGAGTAGTTGTGCAGCCAGCTGTCAAATGCCGTGCACACATATCCGGCCATCAAAAACGCCTGGAGCTTTTTCATCGCTCCAATCGTCTGCGCAACCGCTGTAGGTGTGTGCATGTGATGTGATGTGTGTGTGTGAATGTGCCAAAGTGAGTGAGCGTGTGCGGTGAAGATCAGAAGCATAATAATCCGTTCACACACACAGACACTCACACACACTCACTCTCTCACTCGCACGCACGCACACACACACACACGCACAAAGCAGCAGGCGAGCTGCTACGCGAGAACGACCGACCTCGTATGAACTGGGAAAAGTGCTCTGTGTTGAAGTGCATGTGCTCCACCAGGACGAGACGGCCCAGGTCTGTGCACAGCAGAGCAAAAGGGCGATGTGATGTCAGGCAAGTGTGAATTGGAATTGCATGTGCGTGCGTGCGTGTCTGCACAAAGGTAAGGCACCAATTCGAGCATCATGCCGAAAACACTCACACACAACACATAAACACACATAACACAACAAATACACAGACAACACAACACACACACACACACACAACGATACACACACACACACACACGGCGCCGCACCTTGCTGCTCCTCGGGCAGGCCGCTTGCAAGGCGGGAGAGCACGTGCTCCACCCCGCGGTACATCCCGGCAAAGTTGGCCAGCGAAAACGCCGCAATCAGCCTACACACGCGACAGGATGAAGTGGAGGTGGTGGTGAGGGCACGTGTGATGCACACACACACACACACACGCGCATCAGCGAACAATCATGCACGCACCGCTTGCACGGCTTGAGGAGAGGGGAGGTGGCGTTCTTCTCCGAGGAGAGGTTCGTCAGCAGCTAATACCCGGGCCATTGGCAAGGGACATGGCGGGAACATGGTAATTGGTGGGGGCATGAGGACGCGAGTGCAAACGGTGTGTGTGCAGGTGAGAAAGAGGCCGAGGGGCCACTGCGTAAACGTGCGCGCTTCGATGCATGCAAGCAACCACTCACAAAACAGATGATGAATGTGACACGCGAGCACGCAAAACCCATCACGTGTGCAGCAGACCTCGACGAGCAGCCGGGAGAGGAAGTCGACCAGGGCGTCATCCACCGGTTCTGCCGCCGATCCCTGAAAGCACAGAGAGAGAGTGTGTGTGTGTGTGTGTGTGTGTGTGTGTGCGTGCGTGTGTGTGTGTGCGTGCGTGTGTGTGTGTGTGTGAGTGAGTAAGTAAGTGAGTGAGGGAGAGGCACGCACACACAACCACGCACGCACGCGTACGTGCAAGTGATGTGAGTTTGGTTTGGCATCGACCTCGCACAGGTAAAAAGACATGCGTGCATATGCAAACACACACATGCGCGCGCGAGAACACTTCTGCATACCTTGACGTCCCACTGGTGCTCGAGGCAGGCCGTCATGGTGTCCATGAGCATGAGCTGCGACTGCTGCCGCGTGTCTTTGGTGGCCAGTGAATCCTGCACAATCACGTGGGAGAAGTGACAAAACACCTACCGGTGAGCGGGCCTGAAAGAGTCGACACAGTCACTTGATCATAAACACACACACACATACACACACACATACACACACAGCACAACACAACATACACATACACACGCAGAGCACAATACAACACATACACACACACAGAGCACAACACATACACACCTGTGCCATGTTGAGCTGAAGGAGTTGTGCGAGTGGTGTCAGGATGTTGGACATGGACATGACACTGAGCTTGATGATGGCGTCACGGTTGGCCTCTGCCATCTGTTTGGAGCCAGCCACCTCATCTCGCAGGTTCTGGGACGACGGTAGCTGCACGCAGCGTACAACAAGGACCATGAGCACAAAGCAATCCCACAGTGATCGCAGTAGCGCAGAAACAGGCGTACATGGGGTGGGTTGGCACGTGAGCAACGAACGCCGACGGCAAAACCAGCCAACAAGCAAAGGCGAGACCTGCGCGTACCGAGCTGATAAAGTGGTCAACCAAAGGCTGGAGGAGGCGTGACTGGTGCGAGCTCACGTCCTCCATCATGGACCGGTAACGTCTGCATGTGTTTGTTTTGAGAACGACATGAGGTTGTGGAGGAAGCCAAACACACAACAAACAATGTGTTGCTGAGTGCGTGTGTGTGTTTGTGTGTGTGTGTGTGTGTTGTTGTTGTGCGTGCGTGCGTGCGTGCGTGTGTGTGTTTGTGTATGTGTGTGTGTGTGTATGTGTGTGTGTGTTTGTGCGTCTTGCACCATTCTGACATCACTCACCACACGTGAAGGAAGCTGTAACCGAAAAAAGCTGTTGCCCCTGCAGACCAAACACGAGCCAGTCAAGAGGACGTGCACACACCCAAGATGAGCAGGAGTTCTAAGGCTTCTCCGTGCCATTCAACCAGTTCAAGAGCGGCACCGTTAAACAAGTTGGAAGATAGAAGCAGCACAGCGCACGCAATGTTCGCAAACACATCCACGCAAACCCTGCGCGCGCACACACACACGCACACATCCACACTCACAGCACACAAACACAAACAGCAACCACCACCACCTCTCGCCGATCCAGCTGATGTTCGGAAAATTGTCGGTTATCATTCACAAAATTGCTTGCTTGGATGAGTGGATGGATGTCGAGCCACTTGGTGGTGGCAGCGGGACGTGTGGTGCTGTCTGTTGTTGTTCTCATGAGCAGTGATTGCGGTGTATCGTGGTGCATCTGTTTAGTGCCCTTCTATGTACGTGGTCTTCCTTTCCCTTCTTCGTTGGGCTTGGCGTGATTTGACTTTCGTTTAACTCGCCACAAATAATGTTCTGGACACGAACCGCATCCAACACAACCACCCTTGTCAGATGGCAATAAATGTACCCACACAAATGCGGATACCGCGAGCCTACAACACTTTCATCACACACCATAGCATGCTTCAACACGCGTGTGTGCGTGTGTGTGTGTGTGTGTGTGTGTGCGTGTGTGTGCAAGCACACGGATAGACACACAGGAAGAGACACAAAAAACGACACGCACGCACACACATGAAACCCGACACACACAACACACCAACGCACACGAACACACGCAAAACGCGCGTGGTCAGACGTGTGGGCACTCACGAATGGAAAATCGATCAAGCGCGAGCAGTAGGCGTGCAAGGTTGTACAGGGCCGTGTCGTGCTGGTTGGCAAATCGAATGAGGGCCTGTTCTTGAGGTGTCAAGTCGTCAAAGACGTAGTTGTTGTGCGCGCGCCTGCCGCTGTGTGCGTCAAGATCAACATCACCCCACTGCAAGAACGAGCGCATGACGCTCTCGCTCGTGCTGAGCTCTTCGATCACCAGCACCACGTCCACCATTGACAGCGCACGCGCGGCCGTGTAGAGATGATTTGCCGTCACGTTCCCAAACGGCAGCGAAAACACGTCCGCGCCCAGCAGAAAGCGCACCATATAGTTGTTGAGCACGGCCGGGCGGTGGCGCAGCCGCTCAGCCACGCTCATGTTCTGGAACGCGCCCCAGGCTGCCTTTGATACAATGCCGTGTTGCTGCATGTGCGACACGACACGGTGCGCAGGCTCCCTCACCATGGTCAGGTACACAATCCCGCCACACATCTGCGGCAGCGGCGGCAGCAGCGCCGGGTCCACGATTGCATCGCCCGTCAAACTGCTCGCCAATTCCGTGCCCTTGCCGTTGCCGTGACTGCTGCCGTCAGTGTTACTGTTACTGCTGCCGTCAGTGTTACCATGCCTGTTGCTGTTGCCGTTGGAGTGGGTGCTGGTGTCAACGCTGTGCGGGTGCGTATCAGGAGCAGCAGTGTCGGCAGCAACGACATCAAGGTACGCTTCGTTTGCTAGGAGATCCACGTGCTCTTTCTCGTAGATGTCGTGATACTTCCGGCACGTGCGGGGAAAGTGGCGCATCTTGAACCACACGGGGCCCATGCCGTCAATCCAGCAGTTGTTGGCCTTTGGGTGCAGCTTCTTGCCCGCCGCCTTTGCAAGCTTGCACATGCTGGTGCCGCCGGCTTTGGAGAAGTGCAGCAGCATGACTG